GGAAGAGAAACCCTATAAATGCCCCGACTGCGGGAAAAGCTTCAAGCGGAGCTCAACCCTTATTTCACACCAGAAAATCCACACAGGAGAGAGACCTTATAACTGCCTGGAATGTGGGAAAAGTTTCAATCAAGGCTCAAACCTAATTAAGCATCAGAGAATCCACACAGGGGAGAGACCCTATAACTGCCTTGAGTGCGGGAAAAGTTTCACTCGGCACTCGCACCTCATTAGACATCAGAGAATGCACACTGGAAAGATACCCTATAGGTGCCCTGACTGTGGAAAAAACTTTAGTGACAGCTCAGCTGTTATTAGACATCAGAGGATCCATACTGGAGAGAGACCCTATAAATGCCTTGAGTGTGGGAAAAGCTTCAAGCAGAGCTCAGACCTTATGAATCATCAGAGAAGCCACACAGGAGAAAAACCCTATTACTGCCCAGAGTGTGGGAAGGGGTTCAGTCGGAAGGCTCACGTTATTTCGCACCAGAAAATGCACAGGCCAGAAAGATCCTCTAACTGCCTCGAATGTGGGAAAAACTTCACTAGGAGCTCTGACCTCATTAGACATCAGAAAACCCACACTAGGAAGACACCATATAAATGTTCTGTCTGTCGAAAAAGCTTCAAGCAGAGGTTAGAACTTATTTCACATCAGAGAGCTCACACAACAAAGAGAAACTATAAATGTTCTGTCTGTGGGAAAAGCTACAAGGTGAAGGTGTCTCTAATGTCCCATCAGAAACTCCACACAGGCTAGCAGATGGCAGGAGCTCTCACTATGGACAATGGGTCTGTGCTCTCCTGAAGCAAAGTGTAAATGTTTCATTGATAGATGGTCTTTGCAGGGGCAGCAAGTGGATGAAGGGTTTGGGTTTCAGTGGGGGATAGTTGACAGGGGTAGAAGAGGATGGAACGCTGGATACCCAGGAGCTGGGTGATTTCAGGGTCTGGGGTGAGCAGGCGATTGGGATTGGTAGAGAGACATTTCTGTGGGTTACACACGTATTTTCCAATTTAGAGGACAGGTAAAAATGCCCCGTTGCAGTTCTTGCCTGAGTTGTCTCTGTAGCTCCTAGGGCATCTCGGGATAGGGACAGAGGAATGTTATTCAGGGAAGCAGCAAGGGGCCCTCTGGGGCTGTAGTTACAAGGCAGGAAGAGCTGCTGATCTGAACTAACAGGATGCCAGAGCACTGCTCAGTGTATTGGACATCTCTGAAGTCATGGATGGTGGGGGTGGCTGGAGATTGGGGAATACATGGAGATTACCCAGAGAGGTGGGAACTCTAGGGGATGCCTTTTTGGGAGTGTGGTGTAGCAGTTGGAGGGGAGGGTGGGGGAAATGAGAGTTAAGATTCCTGGGTGTGAGCTAGTGCTGGTTACTTCCCCTGCTCTCTCTGTGTCCATTTCTCCCATCCCTACAATGGTGATAATATTTGACCAATGCCCTGGAGAGTTGTGAGGGGCCATTAATTACTGTGTATGAAGTGGTTCAGGAGAATGCGAGTACAGGAGAGGCTGAGTTTCACTATTATTGTTATTACTGTGTACTGTGTTCACAGGATTATAGAACACAGAAATGCAGGGTTGGAAGGAACCTTGAAAGGTCATCTAGTCCAGTTTCCTGTGCCGAGGCAGAACCAAGTAATCCTATACTATCCCTGACAGGTGTTTGTCTTAAAAACCTCCAATGATGGGAATTCCACAACCTCCCTTGATAGTCTATTCCAGAGCTTAACTATGCTAATAGCAGTGGTCCCCAAACTTTACAGAGTAGTGGCCTTCCTTACCCCTGTTTGTGCCCCCCTGGCCTCATGGGAGCTGGGTTTGGGAGTGGGGCTGCAGCTCCCAGGGGGAGGGAGGGAGCATGGACAGGATTAAGGGGGCCTAGTGTGGGGACGCAGCTGGGACTGGGGCCGGGTGTGGAGCCGCGATTGGGCCATGGTGGTGAGCTGAGGCTGGGCGTGGTGCAGGACCACGGCTGGGGGCAGTGCCAGAGCAGAGCTGGGAGCGAAGCGGGGCTGGGTGGCACTCCCTTCACCCCAAGGGGGCTGGCCCAAACCCTGCTGCATCCCCCCAAATGTTCCTCTGCACCCCACAGTTTTAGGAGCTCTGCCTTATCATTATAAAGCAGGTGACTTTTTCCTTCCCAAGTGTAATATTTTGCATTTATCTTTACTGTCTTTATTTCAGACAAATTCTCCAATTTGTCAAGGCCATTTTGAAATCTAATCCTGTCTTCGAAAGTGCTAGAAATCCCTCCCATGTTCCTCATATTTGAGTATGAACCATTGATAACTACTCTCTGAGTATAGCCTTTCAAAGAGTTTTGCATCCACATTATAGTCATTTCATCTAGACCACATTTTCCTAGTTTGCTTATGAGAATGTCAGGTGGGACTGTGTCATAAGCCTTACTAAAATAAAGATTACTCCAGGGGGAATTCTGTGCCAAAAAAAAAAATTCTGCACACAATATTTTAAAATTCTGCATATTTTATTTGTCAAAATAATGTGGGTTTTTTTACTGCAAAAAGATCCACAATTACAGACAGTCAGTCATGATTGAGAACAACATTGCAGGATGTGCAAAATAATTTGTCCCCATCCACATGTGTTTTATAGGGATATTCTCAAGCACGAGAAGCTGGTGTAGCAGTTTTGATACATGATGTGAAGGCTGTTCATGTTGTGCAAAAGAAAGAATATCCCTTTGCCATTTGATAATTTCATCTGGACCTGGCTGGGTACTTTGGGAAGTGCTTGGTTCTGATTGTCCTGACATTTTATTAACTGCTTGATAAATGTTTTATTTGTGCTCAAAGTTTTTTTTTAAATGGGTAAGTAAAATAAATCCTGAGCTATAATCTAACCACCATGGTGCCACTTTGGCACAGGAAAACAGTGAGAGAGCACATAGATCTTCCTAGCAGAGGATTTCCTTACTGTTATTTATAATAAGGCTCCTTTACATCACTCTGGCAATGCAAAGGAGCCTTAAAACTTTTATAGGTTTTATGCTCCTGAGGTAATTGACTGAGAATGGGAACAGTTAACTAAGAATAGGAACATTAACCACATTA